TGGTGGGGGGGGGGGGGGGGGCGGAAAGACAAGCCTCGGATGCGAAGCCTTGGGGAAGGGTACGGGGCCTGCTCAAGAGCCCCGAAAAATTTTTGGTGTTTTGGAGGGCAAACGGTGTTTTTCGTACGCTTTAAAACTATGATTCAGCTAGTCAAGATTCTAATTTCAAGAAGGGAATATTGGTGTGATATATTTTATCTGTGTGATATATTTTTCAGAAACCATATCTGCCCCCCCCCCCCTCTAAATCCGCCACTAAGGCACATGAAGTATCAATTTAATCATCATTACCTGATGGGGGAGAAGAAGTAGTGTTTTGGGGAACTTTTCAGTATCTAAACTGCTGCTGGTGGTGTTGGTGGTTGTGGTGCTGCTGCTGCTACTGTTGCGCGAAGCGGCTGGGGCTGACTTTGGTCGAGGGGACTGTAAAGGCGTGTCCAGCCTTGTCCTCCAGCGTCCAACACAGGACTAAGGATGCATTCCCATAGATTTTAGATCGATCTATCCCCGGGGGGTCTCACTAGATTACTGTCAGATAATCCGGCTTTAATGTCCGCCCCGCCTACAACAAGCTGTAAGGTGTAATTTTTTTTCGTGCCCGCTCTGACAGCTATTTAGCGTGAACCCCCAGGGAGTTAGGTCGTCTAGTTGATCTAATCTTTGGGAATGGGGTCTAAGGGACCACAAGGACCCCTTAAATGTATGACTAAAACATCGCAAGGCCAGTGAAGTAGCCAATTAGAGGCCGTGGTTTAAACCAGATACAACACTCGTCGCAAAGCTGTACGTGCCTGCGGCTCGACAATACACTCATAATATTTCACGTACAGCTCGGCGACTAGTATCTACAGTATCACATAGATAGCCGCTTAAACTTGGGCGAAGAAAATGAAAGGACTGACAACCAAAAGCTAATCGGATTAGAGCATTTCTCCCACTTGGCTGTTTGCATTCGGACCACGTGACCTCCCGTGTCTGTTAGTTATAGAAGTACTGTACGATCGCAGTTAGTGATTAATTGTATGTGTAACGAGCTTTTGTTAAGTTAGTGTCGCTTTTTGAACATTGTATTCTGCTCGTAATTAGAAAAAAAACTATATATCTATCGTTGAGTTTTTTATGACTCTTTTGTCATTTAGACAGGTAAACAGTGGGGGATTCAGAAACCTGGATTGGGTGAGGGGGTTCATGACGCCCCCCTTCGGTTTCTAAAAAAATTCACACCAATATTCCTCTCTTGATAAAAAAAACTTTTGAAGGGCTGAACCATAGTTCTAAACTGCACCAAATGGCACCGTTTGCCCTCCAAATACACCAACCCTACACCAAAGGGGCGAGAGCCACCTTCGCATCAGAGGTCTGTCATTCTTAAAGAAACCTGGATCCCCCTTTAAATAATCCTGGAACCGCCCCTGGGTAGATATGGGTCGTATGAGGCAGGTCTTCGAGAGGTTGAGACAACAAGAACATATTGCATGGGAGAAAGTTGTAAAAACTGATAATTCTGAAATGCATCTTGGGGGACAGTGTACCAGGGTACATATAGCATAGTCCTCTCCCTCGGATCTCTATAAAAAAAGTCTTTTTTCAAACAGTTAAATGTGATATCTGAGAGAACGGTTCGACCATAAATAATATTTAATTACCGGGTTTATTATACAACTGATGAATATTATATACCTCCATGCACATTTTTTTTTTGTTTTGTTTTAGCCAAATCAAGTTTTACTCCTTTTGAATATTCTGCTTATAGAGAATATGTGTGTTGATATAGGTATCCCCCTACTAAAAAGGGTCACCCCTAACGCAATACGTAAAAGACACAAAATCATGTCATGCACCAATGGTCTTTATTCGACTTTTTAAAGGAATTTTTTTCACAAAAATTAATTGATTGTCCCAAAAATAAATTAACTAACCTTAGTAAAAGTTTCAAAGCCACTTTTTTTCTATTCTGCACTGTATACTCTAGATTGGAGTATTTTAACAATAATAACAGTGTAGCAAATTGTTATCTGTATAAAATGTTATAAAAAATATATATCAAATATTCAATAAGACTTCATATCAAAAATTATGATGTGACGAGTCAGCAAAAGTTATTATTTACAAACAAATTTGAACAAATTTCGTTTGTGGTGTTGCAAAGTAAGTGAACCCCAATACTCGTGATGTGTGAAGGGTGGGGGTTGATAAGGTCTGACCATTTTCTTTACAAGACTAATAAACAGAGTTATAAATGTTTACCTCAATGATAAGTAAACAGTAGGTATAGATGGTTACCTCAGTGATAAACAATTGAATAGGTGATGAGCAAGGCTGCGTTTGAGTTTTGGACTAAGCTGGTTTATAATGATGTGCAAGTCAGATTGTCAGCAAGATTCTCTACACTTGTACTGGTACAATGTATCTACCCGTAAAAGTGAAAAGACTGACAAGGAATATCATAGAAGTCTGAAACTTAAAGTAGGTAACTGAATCGGAAAAAAGAAGGTGCCCAAGTGGTATACAGTAGTAAAATATAGGCCTAGGTGTCTGGTATTCTATAAGGACCCCTTTTTTGTGCAGTCGCCGTGACCACTATCAGAAGCAAACAAGAAACCCGTGGACAATGGAAGTTTTGGCAACAGCAACTACTATAATCAGTAGAGAAAATAACTATAATAGCATTCATGCAACAGTGGACAGTTGTACGGTTGATCCCTGCTTGAAGTTTTACAGAATATTTCACTGTCGTAAAATGTTGTAATAAACGTGTTGTAACGCTTCAACAGATCGATTGAACTGCTGGGAATTTCTCATCGAAGTAAAACCCGATGAATTTTTTTTAACTGAAGATTTAAGTTGAAGGTTGGAGATAACTTCTAGCTTAATCGTATCGTGCGCATCAACAGACTGAATCGAGCGCAAATGGGGTCTAGTGACGACCCATGATATAAGTAGCAACATGTGCCTCAACGGAGACTACCCCTCTAGGGTAGAATTGAGCATGTGCTGAATGCGCATGTGCGTAAATAAGTTCTGGAGATTGTTGTTGCCATAAAATGTCGTTTGACTACACATAACTTTTCTTTGTCCCACAATATTATTGTACAGTGTACCTTTTTGATAACCGGTTCTGCTTGCCAGCAGCTAGATAGTGCTCAGGGTGAGATCGCTCAGTGTTAATTCAGATGAAATGTCGCACGGACCCGTTACGGTTGAAAGGGTTTCATTGGGGTCACTTAGCCATGAAGCAAAAATCTACGTAGTGTCAGTGTACTAGCATAGTGCACATATCTAGGATGTATTATGGATGGAAGTTTGTTTTCGCCTCATCTATGTATTCCATGACTTTTAATGGATTTTACATGAGCTGGGGTGTGTTTAACGCTGCTTTTGCAGGGGATCCTGACTTGGGTGGAAGTCTTGCTGTAATAGGTAAATGAATTATACTCACTATATGTAATAGGTAGACCCCGAGTCAGCGAGGGTTATGTGGCATACACGAGTGCGTAGCACGAGTGGATGTCACATAACCCTCGCTGACGAGGGATCTATCTTATTTAGACCACGGGTCCATTAGCGGGTTATAACGCATTCATGCGAGACGTACGGTTATGCGAGTTACACCACGTCTGAGACTTTTGTTCTTCACTTCCACCGTGGTCTAAATATATATAAGGTTAATTCATGTGGCTTTTGTAAGTGTGACATGAACCAATATTCGTTTTTATTTCATAATTTCAGGTCTCATTCCGAGCATAATGTACGCTTCTGCTGCACTTGTATGTTTATCCGCGAAAGAAGTGTCAGTAATCATCCCAAAGTTAAAGATCATAACGTTCGCAGCTGTACTGGTTCTAGGATTGGTTTTGTCATCCGTAGCGCCCTCTACGACATTTCTTATATTTACACACGGCATCATGACTGGATTTTCCATTACTATCATTAGACTGGAGTACACCTTCAGGATAGCGGAATGGTTCCCTTGGGATCACAGATACCATGTTTTGGCCACAAGTTTTAATCGACTTGCTATGGTTGCTGGCAAGTAATTCATATGTTTTTGTCGCGTATGGATTGTGCTACATGTGATATTTAAAAAAATAATAATTTGTAATATCACATCAAGGTTATATAACATACATTCGGTATGTAACTTACCAACATCTCTAAGACAGTGAAATTTATTTTTAAGAATAAAGCCTAATTTGGCAGCGTGTTGCTTTAACTGCGGTTATGATAATTTCTCTGCATCTCAATTTAACAGTATTTCATTCTCACTTGAGGTGTTTTGAAATTAACTTACTCTATCGTATATAATATTTTTAAAAAATGTTAGCTTTAAAAATCAATAAAAAAGTGGGATTCAGTGATATAGATGACATCACTAAATTATTAGGCACGGTCGTCTATGCTAATCTTATTGAATGGCTGTTCCGAACGCTTGGCTGGAGATATGGCTATCTTGTACTCGGCGGTTTTTTTCTTGTTTCTGGTAAGTAAAAACATTGCTACAATGAAACAGTCACATGTATATTAAAGGGATAATAACTCTTCGTTTCGGCCAATAAATCAATTTCCCTGGAGTAAACAACAATTTTCCCATACTCACCAATGGTTAATGAATCCAAAAAAAGTTTGTTTTTTTTTTTTTTGTTAAAATCTCTTAAGAGATTTTAACAGAGTATAGCCATCAATGGAGGTCACGTGGTCTAAAGACAAGCTCAGATATCAGAATAATAGCTATAACTGCCGTTTTTGTGGTAAAACAGAATGTATTATATTTCCATGAGTTATTCACAATGTTTTTATTGTGAAATATAGATCTCATATGAAGAGTTATTATCCTTTTAACAGCCATTCCACGAAAAAGGGTACAATTCTGAATAATACCTGTCGCAGCTTATTTTCGGTAGTAAAAGCATCTGCAATTAAGCTTCTTTTAGCCTTTTTTAGCAGGACCCGATGTGTTCTACTTAAAAAACAACAATTAATATAGTACCACTTGCTTTGACGGGAACCCCGGGGGTCTATATGCCGCAAAAAGCACGATTTCGACGTGTCGCTTCGGTATTATAGCTGATTTGCCACAAGAAAAAGTTTATATTTTCCCGTATTTTAGTGTTTTTAGTCCTCAATTAATTTGAATTCATGTTTCTTTTTATCATACATGGTGTTCTCTGTCGAATTTGTTGGTTAGTTACGTCACTGTCATAGTTTAATCAATGTCGCTCAGTAACCCCTAACCTCCGTAACGCTTTTTTAAGTCAGTGTAAAAATAAAAGAAAATGCTCTTAAATGGCCTTCCTGTGCATTTTTCAAACTCTTAATACATGAAGTTTAATAAAACAGTGCTATTTGTTAATTTTGAATGATGCGTTCCATCATAGAGAATGTTAACTAACAAAAGTCGGGGTGTCGCATTTAAGAGCCTAACCTCAGTAACGGGCCAAATTTGAAGAAAATGTTGCTTTAGAAAGTTAAAAACATCATTTTTGTTAAGCAAGGACCAACTTCTTCCCAAAAAATTCATTCAATAGTTATGCAAAGTTTTCCCGAGGGTAAAAACTGAAAAAGAGTGCGTGTCACCTTACATCCGTTATGCTAACCTCCGTTACAAAATAAGTTAATTGTTATAAAAATGACTGTTAATACTTTAAAACGTTATTTCTGTGGTTTTGTGAGATAGTTCTGATCAAAGATTCTTTGATTCTTTGAATGCATACTACATCAGAACATAGAAGTAGAACTACTTCTTTAAGAAGTAGTTCTACTTCTATGTTCTGATGTAGTATGCATTCATACGGCTTGCTGTTAAAGTCATTACCCCGTATTAATATAAATATAAAATATACGTATAGCTGATAATTCTATCAAGATAAGCTAACCATTTAAGTTTTTACTCGAGTTTGCTATAAAATCGAGGGTAAATCGTGATTTGTTTTTTCAATTTGATTTCCATTTGTCACTTGACGATGCCTTTTTGAACTTATCATTCTGATTTTAAGCGAAATGAGGAGTTTTCAGGACTGTCTTGGCAAGAAAAATGGTACTAGCTGACATCAGTACTAGCGTACATGTAGCAGACATTATTTTCGCGGGAGACATATGGCGAAATATATTAAGCATTGAAGCTACGCTTGTATTTATCAGGTAGAACTGCGGGGTTATTAGGCCCTATTTTACTATTTCAGTAGCACATAATAGTTTTTAACATCTTCTAGATGCTTCCAGTAACTTTAAATGGACAATTATCCGCAAACACGTGTCTATTGTCGGCCTACTTGATTGTATACATTAACTTTTGGGTATTGTGTTGTTTTTTATTGCCTATAGCTGCGATCATGTACATGTAGGTTTAATGTTTTGTTATACAGACACCAATATGCCATTTACAAATACAGAGCTACAAAAAACACTACAGAGTAAGAAAAAAATCTAATAACCGCAAAGCTTTTCTGGTGAAAGATTTTGAACGGTTTAAATGCATGACATAATTTAGACTATAGAGTTTTACCTAACCTCTGTTACTCAGATTATAAATTAAACTCTTAATCTGGTAAAATATGGAATGTGAATTCTACAGATACATCGATCAACATATTAGCGGTGAAATGTATCCAGTAACGGAAAATGTATTTATGTAGTCCTTGAAAGAAAGCAAAACAACCCGTTGTAACAATTTGCCATTTATTGGTTTGAATAAACATGTTTTATCAATTTTTCTATGTTATTATGTAACGTTTGTCGTATCTGTAATACTACAAATTCCGAATTCAGCCTCTAAAGTCTACTTTAAGCTAAGAAATATCAAAACAAATATGATCGCTATTAATGACCTAACCTCCATTACGAAATTACTCATTTTTCATTTGAACATTGGATATGTGTGTGCTCATTGATCAATGCTCATCTCATAATAGATTGATAGCACTTTGTTCATAAACAAATAGTATGATAAAAAAGCAAGTCTGTCCCCAATGATTAATAAAATATTTAAATTAGANGGCCCTAAACTGCTTGGTGTGAAATGGACCATAGCAAATCAAGCCATTTTCAGATCATCTGTATTAAAATACTTAGACTGGTCCTAACACGTACCGACTGGTAAACACTCTACGGTTTTTTTTTTTTTTTTCGCCATAAATATCATGTTACTAAAATTCATAAACGTATCACTGTTTACCGTTTGATGACTGGGATGACAAAGATATTTACCTATGGTCGCAAGGGGTCCACCTACTTGTACACGTAGGTCATGATCCTGGGCAAAAGCAGCGTTAAACACACCCCAGCTCATGTTAAATCCACTAGAGGTCATAAAAAATAAGACTGAAATAAATATAAACTTCCATCCGTAATACATTGTAGATGTGTAATAGAACCCGAATACAGGTGTCGTTTCTACATTTAATTGTTACAAGATCGCATGGGTGATCGTCGACAAACGGCAGAGCAATGCATTTTATAGTGCATTCTATAGTGCGATAAAGAATGAATCTGGCATACGGTACACAGAACATATAGATAGCCGATTTAAACTTGGGCGAACAAAACGAAAGGACTGACAACGCGTTACAAGACCAAAAGCTAATTGGATTAGAGCATTTCTCACGCTCGGCTGTTTGCATTCGGACCACCTGACCTCCCGTCTCTGTTGGTTAGGTGTTGCTTTTTGAAAATTGTATTCTACTCGTTATTGGGGAAAAAATCTATCTATCTATCTATCTATATATCTTTATGTCTATCGTTGAGTTTTTATGACTCTTGTCACTTAGACAGGTAGACAGTTGCGGATTCAGGACGGGGTGAGGGGGTTCATGACCCCCCCCCCTCGGTTTCTAGAAAAATTCACACCAATATCCCCCTCTTGATAATAGAAATTTGAATGGCTGAACCATAGTTTTAAACTGCATCAAATGGCCACTGATGCAAATGCGAAGGTGGCTCTTGCCCCTTTGGTGTGGGGTTGGTGTATTTGGAGGGCAAGAGCCACCTTCGCATCAGAGGCCTGTCATTCTTAAAGAAACCTGGATCCCCCTTTAAATAATCCTGGAACCGCCCCTGGGTAGATATGGGTCGTATGAGGCAGGTCTTCGGGAGGTTGAGACAACAAGAACATATTGTATGGGAGAAAGTTGTAAAAACTGATAATTCTGAAATGCATCTTGGGGGACTGTGTACCAGGGTACATATAGCATAGTCCTCTCCCTCGGATGTCTATAAAAAAGTATTTTTTTCAAACAGTTCAATGTGATATCTGAGAGAACGGTTCGACCATAAATAATATTTAATTACCGGGTTTATTATACAACTGATGAATATTATATACCTGTTTGTGGTGTTGCAAAGTAAGTTAACCCCAATACTCGTGATGTGTGAAGGGTGGGGGTTGATAAGACCCATGAGCGGATCCAGAGAATTTTCTGACAGTCTTCCAAATTATCTTTGTTGATCCATCTTCCATTTTTGACCGTCTTCCGACAGAAAACATTAGATGGCTGACAATGTAAACTTGAAAATCTGACCGTCTTCCAGAAGACCCAGAAGACGGCCTAAATCCGCCCCTGAGACCATTTTCTTTACAAGACTAATAAACAGAGTTATAAATGTTTAACTCAATGATAGGTAAACAGTAGGTATAAATGGTTATTTCAGTGATAAACAATAGGTGATGAGCAAGGCTGGGTTTGAGTTTTGGACTAAGCTGGTTTATAATGATGTGCAAGTCAGATTGTCAGCAAGATTCTCTACACTTGTACTGGTACAATGTATCTACCCGTAAAAGTGAAAAGACTGACAAGGAATATCATAGAAGTCTGAAACTTAAAGTAGGTAACTGAATCGGCAAAGCAGGTGCCCAAGTGGTATACAGCAGTAAAATATAGGCCTAGGTGTCTGGGTATTCTATAAGGACCCTTTTTTGTGCAGTCGCCGTGACCACTATCAGAAGCAAACAAGAAACCCATGGACAATGGCAGTTTTGGCAACAGCAACTACTATAATCAGTAGAGAAAATAACTATAACAGCATTCATGCAACAGTGGACAGTTGTACGGTTGATCCCTGCTTGAAGTTTTACAGAATATTTCACTGTCGTAAAATGTTGTAAACGTGTTGTAACGCTTCAACAGATCGATTGAACTGCTGGGAATTTCTCATCGAAGTAAAACCCGATGAAATTTTTTTAACTGAAGATTTAAGTTGAAGGTTGGAGATAACTTCTAGCTTAATCGTATCGTGCGCATCAACAGACTGAATCGAGCGCAAATGGGGTCTAGTGACGACCCATGATATAAGTAGCAACATGTGCCTCAACGGAGACTACCCCTCTAGGGTAGAATTGAGCATGTGCTGAATGCGCATGTGCGTAAATAAGTTCTGGAGATTGTTGTTGCCATAAAATGTCGTTTGACTACACATAACTTTTCTTTGTCCCACAATGTTATTGTACAGTGTACCTTTTTGATAACCGGTTCTGCTTGCCAGCAGCTAGATAGTGCTCAGGGTGAGATCGCTCAGTATTAATTCAGATGAAATGTCGCACGGACCCGTTACGGTTGAAAGGGTTTCATTGGGGTCACTTAGCCATGAAGCAAAAATCTATGTAGTGTCAGTGTACTAGCATAGTGCACATATCTAGGATGTATTATGGATGGAAGTTTGTTTTCGCCTCATCTATGTATTCCATGACTTTTAATGGATTTTACATGAGCTGGGGTGTGTTTAACGCTGCTTTTGCAGGGGATCCTGACTTGGGTGGAAGTCTTGCTATAATAGGTAAATGAATTATACTCACTATATGTAATAGATAGACCCCGAGTCAGCGAGGGTTATGTGGCATACACGAGTGCGTAGCACGAGTGGATGTAACATAACCCTCGCTGACGAGGGATCTATCTTATTTAGACCACGGGTCTATCAGAGGGTTATAACGCATTCATGTGAGACGTGCGGTTATGCGAGTTACACCACGTCTGAGACTTTTGATCTTCATTTCCACCGTGGTCTAAATATATATAAGGTTAATTCATATGGCTTTTGTAAGTGTGACATGAACCAATATTCATTTTTATTTCATAATTTCAGGTCTCATTCCGAGCATAATGTACGCTTCTGCTGCACTCGTATGTTTATCCGCGAAAGAAGTGTCAGTAATCATCCCAAAGTTAAAGATCATAACGTTCGCAGCTGTACTGGTTCTAGGATTGGTTTTGTCATCCGTAGCGCCCTCTGCGACATTTCTTATATTTACACACGGCATCATGACTGGATTTTCCATTACTATCATTAGACTGGAGTACACCTTCAGGATAGCGGAATGGTTCCCTTGGGATCACAGATACCATGTTTTGGCCACAAGTTTTAATCGACTTGCTATGGTTGCTGGCAAGTAATTCATATGTTTTTGTCGCGTATGGATTGTGCTACATGTGATATTTAAAAAATAATAATTTGTAATATCACATCAAGGTTATATAACATACATACGGTATGTAACTTACCAACATCTCTAAGACAGTGAAATTTATTTTTAAGAATAAAGCCTAATTTGGCAGCGTGTTGCTTTAACTGCGGTTATGATAATTTCTCTGCTTCTCAATTTAACAGTATTTCATTCTCACTTGAGGTGTTTTGAAATTTACTTACTCTATCGTATATAATATTTTTAAAAAATGTTAGCTTTAAAAATCAATAAAAAAGTGGGATTCAGTGATATAGATGACATCACTAAATTATTAGGCACGGTCGTCTATGCTAATCTTATTGAATGGCTGTTCCGAACGCTTGGCTGGAGATATGGCTATCTTGTACTCGGTGGTTTTTTTCTTGTTTCTGGTAAGTAAAAACATTGCTACAATGAAACAGTCACATGTATATTAAAGGGATAATAACTCTTCGTTTCGGCCAATAAATCAATTTTCCTGGAGTAAACAACAATTTTCCCATACTCACCAATGGTTAATGAATCAAAAAAAAAGTTGTTTTTTTTTTGTATAGCCATCAATGGAGGTCACGTGGTCTAAAGACAAGCTCAGATATCAGAATAATAGCTATAACTGCCGTTTTGTGGTAAAACAGAATATATTATATTTCCATGAGTTATTCACAATGTTTTTATTGTGAAATATAGATCTCATATGAAGAGTTATTATCCTTTTAAGTATGTTGATTTCCATTGCCAGAATAAAGAAGCTATCTTCATTTAAGAAATTCTATGTAGTAGGCCTATATGGACATATTTGGCGTCTAGGAGAAAACATCTCTGTATATATCGTTTAACTTTAGTTGCATCTATATGGGCGGCCAAAAGGGCAAAAATTCATGTCGTCGATTCAGTCAAGTTTCGTCGATTCACTGCCTTCCCATCGATTCAGTTTCAAGGTCAAACAAGCCTGTTATAAATTCAGCATTAATTTTCGTCAATTTTTCAAACATTTCTCGTCAACGGTGTATTAAAACCAATGCTGTTACTATTCTCGTCGATCGTCTAACTTTTGCTCATCGATCCTGCAACGTCACTTCATCATTCATCGATCGATCGCCAGTAGACGAGAAATGTTTGACAATTGAATTGCCGAAAATAGAATGAATTTATGATAGACTCGTTTAAACTTGAAACTGAATCGATGGAAAGGCAGTGAATCGACGAAACATGACTGAATCGACGACGTGAATTTTTGCCCTTTTGGCCGCCCATACATCTAGCAAAATATAATTGGTATGATTTTGCAATTTCTTTAATGGGAAGTATTTTATAGTGTTATTACCACTTGGATCGTTCCAAAGGCCTGGCACTCAAGCAGGACCAGAAAATCAAGAAGCAGACAAGAAGGTTTTTGGGTGTGGTCAGCAAATTTGCATACTGTCAATGTGGTTTCTAAGTAATGTTGCAAACGGAATCGGGCATAGCAACTCAACTGGAATTTTGGTAAAAATGCTGAAAACTTTGCACTGTCAACATTTTGGGTTAAAGATCTTTTGTCAAATATAGTGGCCCTTTTATTATTATTTTTATTTTTACCAAGTGCTTCTTAATCAAATTCCAAACAAAAATGTCTTAAAGGTATTAAGAGTAAGTGAATATATTTCTTGTATTATTTTAATGCGTATTTTGCGTTGCCACGTGCCTTTGGACTTCAAGTGCAAATTTAAAAGGCACACTCCATGGGTTTGGAAATCCCCAAAATGCTTTTTTGCCATCCACAGCTTCTTATAAAACCTTGCATACACCTTAAGTACGATTTTACCCCTTTAAAAATATTTTTCTGGAACGTACCGTATGTTGATACTTCCATTAAACTAAGGAAGATGGCTGCTGGTAATAATGACTGACCAATCATTTTAAACTAAATCAACCAATAAAGATTTAATTAAAGGTCGAATTCAAGTGCACAGATGAGCAGATAAAGAGGGCTAGATATATGATTCGTTGGTACCAGCTTGTTTCCCCGGTAAAATCATTTTTGGCGGTTAAATCCCATGGAGTTGTCCTTAACAGAAGAAGGAGAAATTGAAAATGACAATTATGTATATGTGTGTGTCCAATTTGGATAATATATAATTATGTTTGATTTTTTTTACAGATCAAGCACTTAGAAGACATGGGTTTACCGTCCTATGTGGCAGTTCGGTTTATGACGACAGAGGCAGTTTGTAATTTCTTTAGTCGTTTAGCCACAACCCTAGTTGGGGACCGTGTGAAGGGACATATATTGAAGATACACGCAGTTTTGGCGTTAATCTTAGCGGCAAACATGCTCTTGGGATATGCTGCCACGTCACCTACAGCGTTTATACCGTATAGTATAGGTACATTTGAAATGATTCCATAGTGGATATGTTTGAACTTGAAATTGTGATTAATCTGATGTGATAAATTAAGCATGGTAGTTGCTATGATTGTCCTTTGACATTGTAAACGTTACTACACATGTATATTTAATGTATTGGTACATCTTTCGTTAAGATGTATCCAGTACCCATGCCTTCCCAAGAGGGAAAAGTAACACTCTAGATTTATGTCTCCTCCATCCCAGTATACCACAAACTATCAAAGTCCCATTCATAACAAGAAAGAAGACAACAATGAATATCGATTATTCGAGATTTGGCCAAACAAGACCGCTTTTATTATTTAGTCCCACTATCCTAGTCATTTTAACAATAATAACAATATAGCAAATTGTTGCCTGTATTAAATGTTTTGGTCTTAGGAATAAAAATATATATCAAATATTCAATAAGACTTATCATCCTAAAAATTATGACGTGATGAGTCGGATATAGACAGTATAGGCGTACTGCATTTGGTATGCCCAAGAATTGGTGAACAGAACTTAAATGCTTAGAAGAAGGGGTTTTTCTACCCTTTCCGACTTCCCAACCCATATTTCTCCGTTTCATATCGTGGATTCTCCAAAGCAATGCTAATGCAACGTTTCCGTTCTGATAACAGTTCTAGGTTTTGGTCAGGGTCCATTATTCTCTGCTATGTATGCGTCATGCTCAGAAGTTACGTCTGGGCAAAACGTGCAACAAGTATATGTCATCTGCAGTGGCGGTACATACGTTGGAATGTCCGTAGCGCCGTATCTCTCAGGTATGAAATTAAACATAATTAAGAAGCATTTGTTTTAAAATAATTATTTCTATATATCGTACAAAACTGTCAGTATAAGTTAACTATCCTAGCAACTTGGGCATTTAAAAAATAAAATCTGACAACAAAGAATCGCTTCTTTTCTAGGGATCGCAATTTCTTTTTACAATATGTAAGTGGATAATGTTTTGCATCAAAATGCATACCAAATCGATAATGCAGGATATTTTTTCATGATTTCAGGTGCTATATACGACTGGCAGAACTCCTACTCATTGGTATTTGTGATATTAGCAGTTGGGTATTTTGTATGTGGCCTTGCCATGTTCGCTATTGTAGTTATAAATAAAATTTCCACGAAGACATAACATTCTGAGATAATTCCTTTGCAGAAGTAATTGAGGTGTTTTATTATCATTTTTCTTATTTGTAACCATATGTGTAGGTGTACTGTCTACCGCCACAACAGTAAAATGACTGATCCCACCACTTTTAAAGACAACATGTCAAACACACGTTTGAGGCATGCAAGAAATGCGTTGCAATGTACAAAAGAAATATATCTTTCTACTTTTCCTATATTAGCATTGATACAGTGATTTTTAATAGACTGCACGTTGGTCAAAGTGCTAAAAACTGCTCAAAAGAAATCTGTAAAAAGTGCAAAACGCCTTCCTTTGTGTGTGTGTGTCTGTGTGTGTGTGTGTCTGTGTGTCTGTGTGTGTGTGTGTCTGTGTGTCTGTGTGTGTGTGTGTGTGTGTCTGTGTGTGTCTGTGTGTGTGTGTGTCTGTGTGTGTGTCTGTGTGTGTGTGTCTGTGTGTGTCTGTGTGTGTCTCTGTGTGTGTGTGTGTGTGTGTGTGTGTGCTGGAGATCATAAGAGAGAGGTGTAGCTAGGTACTCAGGGGTTGAAGCAGGATCCCTGGTAGGATAGATTAAGAGATTTTAGCATGCTAGCTTGCAGCGCCTCCTACGGCAGCTGGACAGTATCCTCCCCATGGAGGCGAAATGACCCCTTTGTAATGACCAGGCGTCTACCTGTTCTTATATACCGCACTATACCGCACTTCACTGTATTTATATACTTCAAATAATTGTACAATCCAAATGGTTCCAAATAAACGTAATAATCATGAATTATAATTTTTATAACGCTTTCGTTAGGGTGACTGCTGTTCTTTGACTGTTTTGCATGAATCTCAGGATATGAGACGTATGAGGTGCTTGCATTGGCATTAAAGACAACGTTGCCAAAGTTTTACAACAATCACCCATGACTAACAGAAAGCTTACGTACTTTGAATTTAGGATATTAATTTTTGTATCCTCAAAGCATTACGTAACCAGTTTGGAATATATAAAATATGATTTTAATTAAAATTGTAACCTATGCTATGGTCACGGTGACCACTGGAGCACATTATATTACAATTTATATTTTTACCGATATCCATACCACAAAACAAAACATTACCGGTGCTTTTTAGAGAAACAACCCGCGTGACAACAGTGTTTATTGGCGGGAAAGCGAGCCTGTGGTGATCCGTAGCACTTATGTCGCCATACATCTAGAGATAGGCATATACACTATTTGAATATCGATCCACTTCAATGACTTTTATAGAAACATGGACCAAGTCCATCATGTTTCATTTTGAATATTGCAAATCTTTATAATACTGTCAACGAATCTAAATCATCTGCTGATAGGCAAAATTTATAACAAAGAACCATGGTACATTTTAACTTAACTACCCCTTCATGCTCAGCCATTGTTTAGACCGATTCTATTAAGTCATTTCTTCGCTCAGTGTGAAGACCAAGCGTGATAACAACTGTTAGACTTTGTTTGACACTGCTTAACTGGACACCTGTTGCTCATGTTACATGCATCATTTCATGTTGAAATTAATTATCCGTAAATAATCCAACAAGCACATGCTGGTACTTCACATGTGATCTGTGGCAATCAATCTGCCGCACAGAAAACAACTACACGTCAGAGAGCACTGGTTGCTCCTGCTTATGGCAAAATATCCAGTTAATTATCTACTTAAAAGGGATATTAGCGCACTTTGGGATCCTGTTTCAGAAGAATGACGAGCAAGAGTGATAAACTAAGCCTTCGACCGCATATTCGACAAAGACGCATGTAGGCCTATTTTGACATTAGCATTACATAAGTATCTGAACAACGTATGGCATTGGAAAGGAAATGAAGAGCGGCGTGTAAAAGCTTTTTCAAAATGTTTTGACGTGTTCATCAAAATTGAATCAAAGTATTAAAATGAAATACATATATTGGGAAAATTGTACAAAATTTGTCATAAAAAATGGTTTTAAAACATAAGTAACACAACATTAAGTTACTCATTAACATCAGTTTATTACAGATCATACTCGTACATGTAGATCCGTATTAATAACATGACACTAGTTATCCAATGGTTAAATATGTGCACGTCCACTGTACTGGGTAACAACAACGGGACATAGACATCAAAATTTCAGCATGGTGCCGATCTTGTGAGCATACTTTCCGCTTAGAATATGCATCGCATTTTGCTTTATATTTATAAATTTTGAAAAAAATGTAACATTAAACATATTTGAATATTATCAGGGAAGAGTGCACTTAACTTCACTAAGTTGGGCAAGGACGCTGCGATCCTAAACCGGCGGTTAAGCTACGATAAAATGTAAAGACATTTTCCTGGTGTTAAAGCTGATGAAAATAACCGCTGTTTATCCAGGCTTACAGGCAGCAATATGAGTTCCTTCGCACATACATATTACATTTGTGTACTTACTGTATTCTATCATATCAGAAAAAGAACGGAAATGTTTTAATTGTTGAATTTATGAGCATGGGCATTTTATCATACCCAGCTTAATAGTGTGAACCTGACAGTGGCGTTAAGTAGTCATTTTCATAAGAAATCATCATCATTTTTTCATTAATAATATTAAAATCAACCACATTGTACAGTCTTCTCATGCTTGTTGTGATATTAGAGAGAGATAACATAATATATTAAACTTAGTATACACTTGTGTATATCACTTTACTGCTGTAGACAATACCTTAAAGGCCAGAAAATTATATATACAGGTTTGGTGAAAAGGGAACATTAGGTGTTTTCTACTTTCAAGTTTAACATTTTGAAAAATGCTCGCCTAAAATTGCAATTCATCAAACCATATATGAACGGATTAATTGCAGAACTTAAGGATAATAATTCAACGGCAATGTTTCGCAGAACAGCAAAGACCAAGCTGCCCTTCTCAAAGTATTTTTCGCTCCAGAATATTATCGGGTATGGACAATACAGAGCAAAGAAGCTACCTAGAATAATTGCAGTCATTTTCCCAAGCTTAGCCTCTGTGTCGCTGGTCGATTTTATTGTCACACTTTCAGACTGGTCAGAGCTGATATGAGACGTAGAAGGATCGCCCGTAGATGTCGCTGCTGCCAATGACCCCAAACCAGTGGGACCAGACACCCCTCTTTCGGCTCCCACACTGGGTCCCTGGACGACACTTGAGGCCGTATTTATTCCTCCCGGATGGCTAGTCGCTTCGGGAGAAGCTGGTGAGTCAGAAACTGATGGAAACATTGGCGACACGCTACTAGTACCTCTAGCAGTTTGGTTTGTTGGTGTAACAGTTTGCAGCCTTTGCGATAAAGGATACTGAAAGGCATTGCCATACAGCCCAATTTGTTGGTTTTGTTTCTTGACTTTTCTAAATATCGCAGCGTAGAAACCTAAAGCAACCAACAATGAAATAGGGACATGCGGTATCACAATGAAGCGTAGAAATCCTGTCACAGTGGTCTCCGCCCTGCATTCCACGCCTGCAGTCCAGTTATTCCAGCCCATGAAAGGTATAGAATTCAAACAGACCATATACAAGAAGCACATGCCAGTGATGAAATAAAATCTCCTTTCTGGTAAAACTCTGGGATAGTTAATATGCCAGCATATCTTGAAGTATCTTTCAAAAGAAATCAGAGTCTGTATGAGCATTGAAAGTCCCAGGCATGTACCCATTGTTGCTATTTTTCCAAGGCAGAAGTACTTATTGAGGGCCAAATGATGCAACGCTGGAAATATGTCTACGAGGTATCCTAGTACTATGTTGTAAGGCATGCTGATTAAACCAATCAAAACGTCAACCAGTGCTAAGCTCACAATTGCTATGTTAGTGTTCGACCGAAGCCACTCGAACTTCCAAAACGCACAAATGACAAAAGAATTAGACGTTACCGCTACCAATGATATCAAGGCTTCTATGGTGATAAAGACGATGCAGCTCATGCGTTGACAGGGGAGAGTGGTCTCATTTGATCCGTTCAGTGGAATGGCGTCGGCCACCAAAGTTTCATTCAACATCACGGTGGTGTTGGACATATTCTTGTCTTCAACTTTCTGCAAGGAATCTGTGTTCGTGTTCTGTGTTGATGTTTCCTAAGCACTACTTTCTTCACATGTGATCAATGTCATTTGAACGTACTAATTATGTAGAAATGTGTGGGTTCTAATACCTGTGGCTTTGATAATCCAAATGCGATTATCCAAATGCGACAGTAATATAAAACCCTGATATTTCAATTAACAGAAGATTATGTCGTTCTACCACATGCAGTTACTGTATTTGTCTTCGTTTTCCCTCATTTACTTTTAGCTTCGAATTCATTACAAAACCTAAAATTCGCGCACTTGTGGACTGTTGAGTTTTTTGTAGCTTATTGTGTCAAGAGCGTTTATACACATAAATACTATGGACTATTTCAAAAAAAAAATATTGCATTAATGATTTCAATAAGTTGGAAATAAGACACAATGTAGCTTGCGACCAGCTCATGAGTGTTTTATTATAATCTCATGTTCTACCTTTTGAGTTACAGTATATTTGAAGACATTTATTCATTTGGGCACCTCCTAGTTANGCCGTAGCGCCGTATCTCTCAGGTATGAAATTAAACATAATTAAGAGGCATTTGTTTTAAAATTACTTTTTCTATATCTCGTTCAAAAAAAAAACTGTCAGGATAAGTTAACTATCCTAGGAACATGGGCATTTAAAAAATCAAATTGGACAACAAAGAATCGCTTCTTTTCCAGGGATCGCAATTTATTTTTACAATATATAAGTTGATAATGTTTTGTATCAAAATGCATACCAAATCGATAATGCAGGATATTTTTTCATGATTTCAGGTGCTATATACGACTGGCAGAACTCCTACTCATTGGTATTTGTGATATTAGCAGTTGGGTATTTGGTATGTGGCCTTACCATGTTCGCTATTGTAGTTATAAATAAAATTTCCACGAAGACATAACATTCTGAGATAATTCCTTTGCAGAAGTAATT